TAACTACATCAGCGAAATATTTTTTTGAGTGTATATCTTTCGATTGTAAAACGTTTCTAATTCTCATTATAATACCTTAACGCAGATGTTGCAAATATTTTATAACGTGGAAAAATAGTTATCTCAAGTCTTTAGAGTAAAGCATATTTTCTCGATTTACAATAACGATAAAGATTTATTCACGCAACCTTGCATGCAACTTATTTCGTTTTTTTAAACTTATTCACTCAAAAAAATATTTCGCTGATGTAGTTAGATTTCTAGATATCGCAACAAGAATGTATCACTATTTTTCGTATCTGTGAAAACATTATTTGTCACATATAGAATTTATAGCAGTAATGTTCTAGCAATAGCTTCTGAAAAATTTAGGTACCATTGCTAAATGTTATTCATTGCATGATCTAACACGTGATTGATCTTATATAGATAGGCGCTTTAGAGAAACTTTCTTTTTAAAGTTCACAAACAATACAGATATATATTCTGTTTCTGTCATCTAAACTGATTAAGTAATTACATATGCAATATCACAACAGTTGCTAATTATTTATCTGTTTTAATTAATTTTTTACACCTAGAAAATTTTAGCTATTATTGCAAGATCATTTTTTTGAGTGTTATGAATAGAAATACCAATACTATTCCTATTGTGTTCTCAAAGTTATGATACTTTTTGATACTTTGCGCAAGATTGTCAATATTATAATAACAAATAAACCAGTTCGCGCATTGCTAAACCTTCGTTAAAATTTGCTATCGGAAAGGAATTATCTCGTCGCGTACACGCATCGTGGGTACATTTTTATATGCCTCAAGACGCTATTTATATTTTATCGTAGAATTTAATCTGTTAGGAACAAAGTTCAGGGGCGAATCGATACGGCCTTCTACCTCTGCTCGTATGCATCGCATTATTTACGCCAGCGTTATTGCTGCGTGATGAAGATCACAACGCGTATCGTAACTTCGGTTTCTCTCCCTAGTGAAACCATCATCTATCAACTAAAGTCCGTTTTATAAGCTCCATTTTGTTGGATGACATTAGATATGCGTTTGTCTATACAAGTAATGATGTTAAGTAAATTAAGTTCAAAATACAGCGTTTTATATAACCGTTGTAATATTTTTTAATATTATTGGTTAACTTACTTTTGTACAATTTGTAATTAAGCCGTTGAATCGAAATAGTGGTTAAAGTTTTTTTTTCCGTTTGAAGAATTATAAAGAAAGTTTCTGCAATATTTTAATACAAAATTTATTTCATTTATTATAGAACTTTTTCTTCTTAACTTTATAAAAAAATGTAAAATAATTTCAAATATTATATATTGCAGATATTATTTCAAAGGAATTATATGTGAAAACGAATATAAGTAATGTCATAAAATTGTGTTATAAATCGGTACAAAGAGTTTTATAATAATTATCGTTTAAAACCATCTATTAATATCTGTTTGTATTAATAGTTGACGCGACTTCCTCTTTGATTATATATGCTCTTGAAGCGCTGCATTTCCGCTTGAGAGGGCCGGCATTAACTCAATGTCAATTTCATGAGCATCGATTTCAAGGTTGACCGTGTGGCCTCTGACCATGGTTGGCCATGAGGAAGTTTGCTGGATATCGGATAAATAGTCCGGATATAAGTGCGCGTGTAATCGACGGAAATTCAAGGATTTATTAAAATAACGTGTTAAGTCGCACATCGTAAATTTTGTAGATGCGTAATTTAAAAAAAGCGATAAACAATTAATAGAATGCAATATACCCTTGTCCGCGCTATTCGAGCTTATTATTTACCGTGGTGGCCACAGCGCCTCTCTGTTACCCTTTGTGTAGAAACTGTTCCGTTGCGGTAGCGCGCGTACGCGTAATAAATCCGCACGTGCAGTAAATTAGACACGAAATGCTGGAATCGCTGTTCCGTATGCCTCAGGTGGAGCAAGGTTTGAAATTGTACCGAGCTCATAAACAACAAGCCGCGGTTAGGAAATGGAGGGGCGCTTTGAAGAGCATCAGACATCGCGAGGATAAATTCGCTCTCCTCGGATACTTGTATCAAGCGTACATGGATTGGGGCAAATACAGGTAGATTGTAGTGTAATAACAAATCTGTCCTTTTCTTTCTCCTGGTTGTCCCTCTTGGCAATGTTCGTGTGTATTTAAAACGAAACGAGTTACCTGCACGATCAAAGGTAATCCGGAGGAAAGTAGGGCAGAGCGAGGTAAGCGGGTCAAGCCGGGTGCTCGCTTATTTTCGCGGAAAAATATCACGGTGCATTATTATTATTGTTGCATTGGTAGCACTGAATGTCAACACACAGAAAATGCTCAACGTCGTGTTTAAAGTCAATTAAGTATGAGCTATTTAATTTTGTTCCACTTTTTGTCGCGGTTTTACCTCACTTTCCTCCACCGCGTCTATCCGACATTAGCGGCAGGAATCTTTCACCGTGAGATTTCCCTCCTTGCAGAGACAGCATCGAATTCGGCAACAAGCAATTATGCATCTCGGAGGAGTTGGATTCGCCGAACATGCGGGCGGAGGCGTATTTGAACTTGGCCAGGGCCCATGAGAGATTAGGTGCCCTGGATAAAGCGTTAGATTACGCCCGACACAGGTTTGAGCCTTTTTCGTTTATTTTACGATGCCCGTATATATACACGGCGTAACATAAATCTTGGAAAATAGACGTGCAATGTCTCATATATCTATATATCTCTGCTATCATAATATATCAGTAGCTGTCCGATAGATCGAAATGCGCCTAACATAACATAAAAGCTGTTCGGATCACGAAGGTATTTTGATCAAAATAAGCCAAGTTTAATGAAGATTAATTAATGACTATCCTCAATACATCTTTACACTGCTGGCTGATCTATACATCATATCGGTGCACAATAACTCTGTCTTTTTTGTTGATCAGAATAACCTCGCGATAGAAAAGATGAACGGTGATAATTTCGAGTTTTGAGGAAGAATAATCGTTCTCATTTTTTTTTTTTCCGATATTGATTCCTATTGATCTTAATCCGATAGACGAATGTAATCATCATTTGTTGGCGATGACTTTATCCGACCATCTATCTGTTTATCAAGCTAATATCCATGATTTTGCATCCTCGCAGTTTGTATAACGAGTGTGATCAGTGCGCCACTGCTGGATTAGTTCACTTAACCGTAGGCAGAGTCCACTTAGAGTTAGCAGGATTCTGTAAAGCCTTGGAAGCGTTTCAAAGAGCCCACAAAATCGCCCACTCCATTCAAGATCCCTCCTTAGAGCTACAGGTAATTAGGTCCCTTTGTCTGCTAGTTTTCTTTCTCGCACGAGTACGAGCAAGCGCGCATTATTGTCGTGATGTTTGCTAATTAACGAACGGCGTAGGACGATTTAGATAAGCTGCGTTGTGTTTTACGACAATGCCGAATTCGTCTCACGTTTCGTCTGACTCTTATTTTATTCTCGAGCGGTCCATAAATTATTGCGCCGTGCATTTGGCATTATCAATTCTCTCTGTAATAATGAATATCTCTAAAAAATATCGTTTAATTGTAAGCAAAGTTATTTTTTGTTTGTATGATGGAAATCCTGCCTTTGATCGAAGATCAAATGTTAATGCAAATTGAAAAAGAAATGCCACGTTAGAAAAAAAAGATTTTATTAACTTGTAACGCTTTTTTTATAAAATATATTCGAATAAGAGCTCGTGTACGTAGTTTTCAATGATAGTTCCTTAAAACGATTTCTTTGTGATGACAATCTCTAACTGACATTTGGCGTTTTCAGGTGTACGTTGGTCTGTCGGAACTTTTCTGCCGGTTACAGGACGCGGACAAGAGCGCGAGATACGCAGCGAGAGCTTACGATCTCTCCAGAAGTTTACAGCTGGGAGATCTGAATTCGCGTCATCACAGAGCGGCATTATTACAAATGGCCGCGGCGCTCAGAAAAAAGGGCGAGTTAGGCGACGCTCATGATTACTGCTCGGTAAAGTTTCAGCTGAGAATTGCCCGAGGTGGAAACTTAGTTTAGATCAAAGATGCCAAATCATCGCGAAAGTATCTCACTTCAAGTGACTTAAAGCAAAAACGTTTTTCTGTGGCATTTTTTCAAAGATATCGCAAGTCTTTTCATACATCTTTAATCTCGCGATATTTCCTTCTTTTTTTTCCTCTTAATTACATGACAATTTATTTGCGTTTTGCTTTATTAAAGATTTTAATATTTTCGAGCACTGTGCAAATCAAATTTATCGTATCGTATCATATTAATAATATTATCGTATCATTTTGTAGAGAAAATTGTAATGAGTAATCGATATTATAATAATAATACGATCAAACAATTTATAGAAACATGCACGAGTATATATTATTGTACTTTGTGCATAGGAAGCAACGCGGCTTTCACTAGTTTCTGGCGACCAAGCTAGTTACGCCCGAAGTATCCGTATTATGGGAGACATTTACAGAAAGAAATCCGACATAAACGTAAGTAATTTTCTCATCAATTATTATTGTGACTATTCCTTAGCTTTGCACGCGCGCGCGTGTGTTTTTCTATGGCAGTTTTTGTCACATAATTCTTCTAACAATGATATGATTGTATCATTCTTTTCTTATTTCATAAATTGCATTAATTTTAAAACATAATTTTAAAATATCATAAAATTTACATATTAAATTTCTTTCAAAAGCTGACGTTTGACAGAAAAATCCTTACTCTCTCATATATTTATATCGAGATGAAATATACGTAGTTGCGCAATGTGAGATAACGCCAATATATATTTATTTGCATACCTATTGCATGAAAAAAAACATTTCTATAGATAGATTTTTTTATCGGCATTCGCGTCAAACGCTACGATGCTATCAGAACTGTTCGCAGCCTCATTGTTCCCTCTAACATTGTTATACATGGTGCTGTCATCAGCTGACAAAAAAAATGCCATAACTGGGACATTCCTTTGCATGTCACGCACGTTACAAAAGCGATTTTAACGCTGCGTCACGTTCGCAATGCATACCGCTTTCATTTTGTTTCATCGCTACAAAACCCTTTGAGCGCTGTTAAAAAGTGAATAACAAAGATTCTACAAAATGTCCATTTTGAAACAAGCCAAAATATTAAAAGGCAATATGTGTATCATTTATTAAATTAGCTTCTGGAACGCTTTTCGAAAATAGCTATTTAATTGTTGGTTAATAATAAATATTTTATTTATGTATTCGAGTATGTATTCAATTCTAGTAATGTATTTACTGAATTGAATATATCAATTTACATTAATGTTATCTAAACAAAATTATGTATTAATAAAATTAATAATAGGGAAATATGTATAAGCTACAAGTTGGAAAAAAGTAAGAATAAAATTTAATTTTTAAATTCGAAAATATTTTTTCATACACTTTGACTACAAGCTTTTAATTAAACTCAGTCAAAAACCGATCGCGAAAAATCGGGACGTTCGATTATGTTAATAATTCATCAAATTACATATTATCATGATACACATTACGCACGTCATACATTAAGTTAATTTCACGAAGCTTATATAGCAAATGATATTATGTCATCAAAAACATTGAAAGCGCTATTTGCCACTCCCATTTGCCGCTTGCACGGATGCATATATGATTGCGCTTTCGCGATGAAAACGCTTGTTGGATTTAATCTATCTTTTAGTTAATGATAGCGATACATATATAATACAATTAGCCTTTAGTTCACGCACCGCACATATCGACTCGTTTATCAGAGCGATAACATCGGTGAGGTAAAGATGGATATATTGCAGAAAGCGTTTCGACAGTACGAGAGTGCGATGGGCTCAGCGGCCGCGACTGGCGATCGGTTATGCCAGATGGAAGCGATGGACGGCGCGGCAAGATGCCTGGAAGCTCTCAGGCTTCAGCACAAGATATGCAACTGCAGGCCCCTCGAATTCAATACCAGGCTCCTTGAGGTCGCGGGATCAGTCGGCGCCAAGGTAAACTGCCAATACAGATCGCGGATTGCGCTCTGCCCACCGTTTATTCCATTTCTCAGAAACAGACAGAGGATGGGGAAGAGCAAGAGGGAGGTGAGAAAAGAGAAAGAGTGCGGGAAGATCATGACGTACTGTGAAATCAATTTCTTCCCTCCTGCCAGACGTGAAAACTTGGGAGTTTCTCCCCCCCTTCCCCTCCTTTTTTTTTTAGTCTTTAAAGATCGCAACGGAATTTCAAAGGCAGCAAAGTTTTTCGCTCGTTGAATATCTAGAACAAGTTGAACGTGTTGAAAGGAGAGTTGATTCTATATTTTAAATAGCGCGGAATATATGTGAGCCTGATATCAATTTTTGCCACGAGTTTTATTTCAATGAGATACGTTATATCTTTGTGAATTCTGCACGACAGTATTATCCAAGATGACTGACGAATTTAAAGATGTATCGTTACATATAGATCGTCTAAAATGGAAATTAGATTAATGAATTTCAAATGTGCTAAACAGTGAATAGAGAATAATTGAAAAAGTAACTTTGTCTGCGACAGTCTGTTGTTTAATAGATTTCACGATTGTCTCAAGTTTCAATGAAATGCCGAAAAAGCCATCGACACTACGTCGTCGGTACGTTGTGCGCAAATATTCCATGCATATATTACTAGACTCATACCACGCGCACCGAGTCCTCGCGCTATTTGTGTCCACGAATCAATGGAGCCGGTTCTCCATTTTGATGCTGTACACGCGCGCACGCAACCTATAACGTAAAATACTTCGGAGGCTGTGCAGCTTCCTCAGTGATATTCAATAGAGCTCCATAGAGATCATTGTTAGCCAGTGAATTAAAACGGTAATGCTTTGTATGCATGATTCTATGTATTGATCTATCGTTAGCTTTTCTTCTTCTCTACACACGTTCTATCGTGAAAAATGTTAAACAAAATTTTTTGAATGCCTAATTAAAAAGAAAAAAGAAATTGAATTTGTTTTATGACAAAAACATACTTTCTCGGTGTAATTTTAACGAAAAAAAAAAAGGGATTTGCTTCGAATATGCATCGAGACAGAGGTTTAGAATAAAGAGGGCTTAAACGAGTATTTCAGAATAAAATTACGATAAGCTGACTGCTTGCAGCTTCTGGTGCGGACAGTTAGATCCAGACTGTCGCGAATTTACGGATCTTTGGGGGATGAGGAGCAAAAAGGACACCATGAAAGATTAGCAATTGCGATGGAAGAAGATTTGGAATTACGATGCGGAAGCTGCAATGAACCTTTTGGTCTGGAAGCCGATTCCTTGGAAGCACTACCCTGCTCTCACATATTACACGCTCGGTAGGATACGCAGAAACTTTAGAATTATTATCCTTTTAAGAAATAAATGAACGAATACAAATTAATGAGAAACCGAATATTAACATCGAATAAAATTCCAGTTGCCAATTTTTTTGAGAGAATATTTCTCCTGCCCTTATTTTCTCGTAATATTTGTAGATGCGCATACGACATCTTGAAGAAGCGCGACAAGAAGAAGAAACGTTTATGTCCCGACTGCCACAAATCTGTCAGTTCACGACTGTACCTGCATTGCGAGGATCCTCACGGCATGAATACTTTAAATCATAGTTCCTTGAGCCTGGCGTCATTGAGGGCCAGCAGCCTAGCAACACTTGAGGACTGTCACGCGACGAGTAGCGTTTAAAACACGATGGATTTCGTTTATTTTAACGCGTTGGCATCCGCATACGATTAGATAATTCTAAGAGTCATAATTTGGGAAATAAAAGAGCCAACGGAAAGTAGTACGATACAAAAAGAATTTAATGGCAATAAAAAGTGCACGCCTCGATCTATCTTGTCGAATATTATTTTCTTTCCTTCTCACATAATCCTTAGTATAATAAATAGTAATTAAAAGCAGCGATTTCTTATTGACATTTTTAATTTTTACATAATCAATTTACTAAATGGTTACCACACCATCTGATAATAATAATGACGTAAATAATATTAAATTCAAAAGCCGAATACGCATTTTTATTTCCGTATTTAAATTGTAAATTTAATAATAATTTTAATCTTATTTTGATTATTCTAAAAAAATAAGATTTAGTAAACAATTATTTTAAAGATGATTTTAAAATTTAAGTTATGTTAAGTAAATATTTTTCTCTTTAAAAGTATTTTAATACAGTATCAATATAAAATTATTTTGCTAGTCTTATTTTAAAAGATAAATTTGAAAAATTTGTTATTTTCAACAGTAAATCGTGATCAGTTATATTGTCAATTAAAAGTTAAAAAGTTAATCCATATTAAATCACAATTCAACTCTCTTACAATTGCAAATATTTAATAGTTTAACATTTTTCAATATTTTTGATAAGTAAAAAAGATTAAATATTAAAGTTAAAACATAGATAATTAGAGTATATAATATAGAGTTATATAATGTCAAATTAATTAATAAAAATAACAAATAACACGATGCGTCTAATCGAAAATATTTTTACTAATTATGAATACCGGAAGTACTCTTAACGACCTCTGCTGTGTAAAGAAGCAAACACTTGCAATGTATATCCACCTTTAGTCGCAAGTTACGGCATGGCCGCCATGGCAGCTGATGCTCTTTGCAGCACTTGACGTTTAATCAGAACATGTCATTTTGCAAATTTCATTTTCACAAATGGCAGACTCCTTTTTCGGTTTCGATACCACGCTCGGAGTAAGTACGAACGCTTCTCATAGTTACACATGATCGCACATGGCTCGTGTCCGATTTGTACGAATTCCAACGAAGTATGTGAACGTGAATCTTCCCGATAAACACTCGCGTCGCGGCATATCTTAGAAAAGTAAAAGTTTTGACCTACAAGGTGCTGATAAATGCGATATGACAATTTTAATTCGAAATGGCACATTTTGCAAATTTGTTTTTAAATATATTTTATTAATATTGCTTTCGAAAAAATAAATTTGCTTTCCAAATGACTGCGGGGTTACATCGTCTAACCTCATTTCTATTTTCCTCGCCCGAAAGGTCATTAACATCAAGCATCGCAAATTCTTGTCAATTCTGTTAACAAATTTATTATTTATATATATCATTAATTCCAGTTCAATTTGTGCGAACCTCGTATTTTGTAAGAAATATTGTTGCAGTATACTTTTAGTACACTTTAGTACACTTTTGTACTGATTTTATTATCTTCATTTTCAAGGATACCCACTATGCTTTTGTTTATTATTCCATAAAGTTATGATACTTTCATATCTGTATTATATAGATACTTTTATATCTGATACTGATTACTATTTGTGGCATGATTGGTATGATTAGGATAACAGCTTAGAGGATGGATTAGATTGTCCATTAGAGGAAGATGAAGAAGAAGAGTATGATGCACTGAATGATGAAACATTTGGGCCTGATGCTGCTATTGGTGACTGGGAGGAAGATCATGAAAAGCTTGCTGAAATTACGGAATCAAGTCGCCCACATAATCAGACGGCAACAAATAAAAAAGTATGTTGTCCACGATATTATTTTAACTTGTTTAGAATTTTGAAATCTATAAGTATATACAGTCTAATTAGCTTAATTATCAATGTAAGACTAGGTTTGATTTCACAGCCTAATTAAACCAGCAGAAAAATACAATAGAACATGAATGATTAGTATATTATAACATTCTGCTATCGAAATATTACACATATATCTATATGCTTTAATATACTTTATATTCCGTACAGAATATTTCTAACATAGACATTGAGGATAATTTGTCACATTTGGTATTGGATAAAGAAGGGATAGTCCCACGACCTGGTGTATGGAGTAGTCCATTGAATCTATCTCTTCCAAAAACTCAGCCACGATTATCTTTGCCAACCTTGAAAAATGCCTGTACAGTGGAAGAGTTGGAAAGAGGGCTTATTGCGAATAGGCCACCTCCAGGTCTCAGCAAACCACAAACGCAACAACAGCAGAAAAAATCTGAAGGATCACTTCTCTTTGAAGCTCTATCTTTAAATGAGAAACTTCAGGTCAATGGGGTACCTCCAACACGCTTTCCACCAGGACTGGGCCTACCTGGGGCGGCGCATTCCATGGTTATGTCCAATTTCAGACTACCACATCCCCAATTTATTACACCTCATCGATTATTACTTAGTAAGCACAATGTTTATTAGTAATAACAAATATATATTTTTTAAATATGAATCGGTAAGTGTTTGATAATTTAATGCTGTTTAGAACTTTTTTAAAATTAGATATTTTCGATTATCTGCAATGTATTATTCTAAATTATTTTTTTTTATCATTCAAATAATATATTTCATTTATATTGATTTGCTCTTGTTATAATTTTTTGCATTAATAAGAAAGTATTACACTAGACTATAAATAATTCTAAAATAAGCAAATTTCTAAACTAATAGTTTTAATAGACCATTTTTTAATGATGATAATTTTTCTACTCATAAGATCAATCTGGGAATGTGTTTCGTTATCCTCTACCACCGCATTTAATGTTGCCACATGTACCGAGACAAGCTCTTCATGGCAATTATCCTGGTTTTCCTGTAAGTTTTTCTCTACATTGTATATACAATATGAAATAAGCAACAAATTTTCACATTAATATATTTTACATTACATTTTAGCAACCACCACATGCTGTAGGAGGTCCACAGTTCCTTCGACCAGATCACATGATGCCTGCATTTCCTAATAATCAAAACAACCATCAACAACACCAACAACATTCTTACTCACATTCGGGAAATCAGAGAAACCAAAATAGACCTTATTATCATAATGAACAACAAACCGGACATCAACCGTTTTTTAAAAATAATCAATATCCTCATCGCATTCATGACAGAAATAATCAAAGACATCATCATCATCAACACTACGCTCAGAGTGTTAATGGTAATGCCTCAGGAGATTATGAACCTCCAGGAAAACTTGCTATAAAACCTCACGAGAAACAATGGTTGATTAATATTCAACTGTTACAACTTAATACAATTCAACCATATGTTGATGATCACTATTATATTGTATTCTGTGATAAGCGGAATAAGCAAAACACAAGTCAAGACCAAAAAGATAGAAAACACCATAATAACAATGGATACCATAAGGATCACAAGTACGTTAGAATATTATATAGTTTTAGTCGTAACTATATTGAAACTATTTACTACTTTGCTTTTCTATTTAGAGACTGGGAGCCAACGCCTCAAGCCGCTTCCAGATCAGCATATACACCAGCCCAATTTGAGAACTCATTAGGCAAACTACATTGCAGCAGTGTAACGGCACCACGCAAACTTATTGATATGGATGTTGTATCAAATAATGATTCTCAATCTACTCCTCAGTCGCAACAAAAGGATACTAAAAAAACACGACAACTGCTACTTGAAATTGAAAGGGTACTATTAATATTTTAACAATTTTTACAATTGATAAAATTAATATTTTGTTAGCATATTTTCTATTAAAAAATTGTTATTTTTTTTTAGCTATATACATTATTATTTAAACTGGAAGATCTGAGCAATCCTCTTGCTGCAATTCCGGAACCGCAACAGCAACAAGAAGGAGAGAATGAAACAAATACAAATAAAACTATACCAGAATTAATTAGCATGATATTATCATGTCTGCAACAATTGATACAAGATGATAAATTAGCTAATATGCTAAGCATTCGAAAAGGAAAGGTAAGTTGATGAACAGAAGAAAGTACGACTTGAATTTTAATAATCATTATCGATATTTCATATTTATATATATATTTGTGTGTTATAGACGTTATTACTACGTTTTTTACCTCATCTAAATGTGACAGAATATAATAAGCAGTTAAAAAAACTGTGGACTGCGATATTTAAAGGATTAGCCGTGATAGGCCGTAGAGATTGCCATTTATTAACAGATCTTTATTCCGATTTTCGAAGATGGCTCAATGACGTAAAAGATTTTGATACTATACTGCAATTAGTAAGAGCACTGTCTGACTCAGCTACTCAGCCTGTGAAGAACAACAGTTTGGCTTTTGCTGTTATGAATAAGGTTAGTTAAAAAATTATTTTATGCAATAATTGTGAACTCTTGAATTTCTATATATGCAGAAAATATATATAATGTAAAATGTGATAACTTCTCCATTATGTTATTTTAGTTTGGTATATCCGCAATAACGGCAATGTTTGAACAAGCAGAACAATTATGCGCTACAGACGATTCCCTGCCTTCTGAGTGGTCAGCTTTTGTAATAACGATAGCTGAGATTATCGATTCCTTATCCTGTGCTACACCTTGTCAACCAATTGCTACAAATACGCTCAATAAGCATCTGAATCGGATTTCCAGTTTGAAGATAGAAAGGTATACCATGCTAGCGCGCTTGTTGACTGATGCCAATACTTTACGATAGTCTAATGTTACACTAGACACTAGACACAGTTACATCTGACAGTTTTTTTTAATTTGTCTTTTTTTAATGTACGAAAAATAAATTATACAAAAAAATGATACATACAGACAAATATTTTAATATAATTGCTAATGTTATTGAAATATTCATTGTGTACGATAATATTTCTAAATAGATGCCATGATTTTACAAAGTAGATATTAAGTATCTAATGTGAGAAAGAAAAAAATTTATATAGATATATATAAATATTGTGAAAATTATATATATATAGAACATCCTGATGCACAATGAAGTTTCTTACTCGTACATATATATATATATATATATATATATATATTTCACCTTTCAGTGTATATTTTGTACACATTAATAAATTTAAGCTCTCTTAATTAGTAGTATGGAGAAGCATACTGCAATATCAGAAAAATTAAACGTATATTAAATGAAATAGTATTGCATGTCAATATTTTTTTCAATTTTTTTTTTTTTTTATTACAGCATATCTTGATTCTACTGTGTAAAATTGGTATCTAATACACAGTGTAAGGCACTTCAAATTATCATCTTAATTTATAAATGAAGCATTTTATCCATTTGTACTAATATAATTTGTATTATCGATAATACATCTTTCTCTATTCAATATATCAAAATAAATCAAGATGAGATAATTTCTAGTGCTTTACTCTGTATTAAACTGCACATCCTATCTTCCTATGTGTTGTATTTTGTATTTCTTTTAATTAATATTTATTAAACTCAATATATATAAAATGTATACTTCTACTATTGATATTTAAATTAATTCATACGGCACATTAAATTTATCTGAACATTTGTATTTATGTAGCTTTTTTTATAAAGATTTTTATAAAAATTTTTATTTTCTCTAAAAATTACGAGTGTGAAAGTATGCATTTGTATTTATACATCGATAATTTTGTCCAAAGCTTATGCTATTAAATGCATCTTTTTAAGTTCAGTTTTAAGTATATTTTGCGATTATACGAATATATGTACATGATATTTACGGAAGATAATGCATGGGATGTGTACGTTTTCACTTCCGTTTATATAAAAAGCAAATGTGTACGTTATTATGCATACATTATACGTCGTTGTGAATGAAATCAATAGTAGTTTAAAAAATTTGCTATCAGTGTACAGATGACTTATATTTTGGAAAAATAACGTCAGATAATCATTTACACTGCACTGTTCAAATGTAATTACAGAAATGAGAGTATGCGACAATTACATAAGTTAGTATATCAACAGAAACACTGTAATAGTCTTTTTATAACATTTGTATTATATATTAAGTACTAAAATTAAATTTCTATCGGTTCCGGCATCAGAAATATGTGATAACACGAACTTTAATCTAGTTGTAAAAGACATTACAGATCCATCAGTTTAGGAAGTGTACTTTTTTTTAATACAATAGAGTTATTGTTATTAGGTCAGATATAACTTTGTGATTGCGAAAGAGAGAAAAGAAGGAGATTCTGTAATTGCAACGTGTGTTTGCAGTACCATAAGGATTTTAAAGATAATCTAAAGTGTACGACGACATGGCCTTTAGAGTACTAAATAAGATGATTTCTATCGCAATTTAACTACAATCTTGTTTATGTACTTGTAGCTTGTACATAGAACGATATTGATGCGTGAATGACTGGATACATTTTGTAATCAAATGCAGAAATATTTTGGTTTCTGCCATGTCGCATGATGTAATGTATTTTGCAAAAACCGTTTTCAAAGTTAAAAGAAACGTTTACTTTTTTATTAGTCTGTAATCTTAACGAAAAGTTGTTAGTTTGTAATCTTTATAGTGATTACTGACTCGAACACTGTCTGAGTTGTATGAACATTTTGTTAAGGAGAAATTACTAAAACCATAGAGCATCGCATTGCAATTTCAATTTCTTAAATGCAAAATATAAATAATCCATATTATTGCGATTACATATATTTTGTCGTACTAATTTTTTAAATATTAAATATCAAAATGTTGCAACATTGATTTAGCACATTATCTCATTTGTGTTTTTATAAATTAAGTTACATTATTTTATATAAATACACCTGTTCTTTCAGTGCGATTAGCTCATATGATTCAAGTAATACGTAATAAACATAGTTCATATGACTATTCACTATCGCTCCTATGAATTAAATTATAAATACAGCTTTCTGCATAAAATAACGAATTACGATATAGATGGATATTAAAAAGCAAAAAAAAATGAATATTCATTCATTGATTGTGAATAATCATTCACTAATTATTTACAGCTTACAAGCTTTGCCAATTAGAGTTCTTATTATTTTGTAATAAATTGATAAAGAGAAATAAAATCTATGTTTTTCTACATAAGCAATGCTAAGAATCTAAGGAATACGTGATTGATCCTGTTAGTCTGTAGACAATGATACATGTTTGAAAAGCCCAACAGTTACATTACATTCTTCTTACTACGTAACTGGGCTCGCACTTGAGAATAAACTTAGTTATAGACGCGTTAAATTGTAATTTCAAACGTTCTCGTAAGAACTTTTAAATAATTTTATAATTCAAAGAAAATATGCGTTTTATAATATTCTTGATTTTATATCAAATGCTTAAACACTGCCCTATTCATCTGTTAACATAAAAGGGCAAATTAAGCGATTGTTAATGATTTATATTTTCTTAAGGGCTACTAAGAATATATATCTTTGGCAGCAATATGCTCTTTGCACCCGTTCGGATTGTATAACAAGCGTAGAATTTAGTTTGTTTTTACCATTCATTCATGTTCATTGCAATAACTGATGTGTTGCTTTTACAGTTTTTTCGCTACTTGACACCCAGTGTCAATTGGTGCGAAAATTCAATATTTTGTTGCTAATGCACTAGTTGTATCAAAAATTCTTAGTAGCACAGCATAACGATATAAACCAAGATTCATATATTCAATTTGTATAGCGAAAAAGGGATTTCATTACCTACGAGTATTGCATATTTTAGCACTAACTGATGTATCTATTTGTTTCAATATATACAGATATGAAAGGTATCATATTGTGACAAATAACGTTCAACATTCTGTTTGTACCATCGTCATGGAAATTAGCTTTCGCTAACAGAAAAGAACATGCGATGTCTTCTTGTAAAGTAGATAAAGCGAAAATTGTGCGTTTCATTTTTTATTAAAGGTATATTTTTATAGAGACACTATGTTGATTATGTTTTAAACGAAACAAATGGAGTGCTATAAAATCGAAATCGTTAAATTAACGTAAAAATCCTACATAGTTTATTATCTATATTACGTCTATTATGTACCCAATGATACGCCTGTACATTAAAAAAAAAAAAATGAAATTGATTGTACATTTATAATACAATCTGAGGATATAACTGTAGCTGTTGTGTATGTACAGAATTGACCTAATTTGAAATCAAAGTCTTAAATAAATGTTTTACATCCTATATATGCTTATTGCATTTTATGTTGCTACATTCAAAATTATTTAAATTCAAAATCTTTTATTCATTCTTGTTTTCTTTCATTCACTACTTTAGTTTTATGATCACTATATTCATGCCAAATATATCTATAATGTATTTAAAAGAATTTTATTTTATTTTTTATTAAAATAAACTTAATAAAAATACATTATGGACATGTGACATGAATTATATCATAACTAAAAAATAAATAAAAATTTTATTTTTAAGAATTGAAGATATTTTAGAATTTGAACGTTATGATACAATGTATCTTTTTCCAACTTGCATGACCACTTGGCCACAAAAATTATTGAACAAAAACTGAATCATTTATTTTCATTATCATTATCTCAAATACTTTGTACGTTTGAAATATTTCAGTTTATTTAAACGTTTAAAATTAATAAATTTTACAATATATAAGTTAAAAATTTTACTTTATTCCGCATGTTAATATTTTAATTATTTTAAATTATAATTTTTTTCTATAATATTATCTAATTAATATTGATTATTTCCATATTCCCTTTTAATATTAAGGTAAAAAATATTTTAATACTCATCGACACAGTAGCGCAGCAGCAGAGTTTTAAATAAATGTTGATTTGTAAAATACAAATATTTCAAAATTAATCAATATTCATTGTATTACACAATAATGTTACATTTTATGCCAACCATCGCCATTTTATACCATAAATGACGAATAAATTACCTTACGGTTGCTTTGCCGTTGCCCGATGCCTCCCAGGCCTCCTCCTCCTCTCATGCTCCGTTTTGGCTGCATCTCACATACACAATATAACACTCGCGAGAACATAATTAATTAGAATCGCGTAACACTTCTGAAATAAAACTCGCAGCAACGGTCGCGCAGTTTGTTACGATGAAATGATGCGAGAAAATACGGTCACATAAAACTACAATTCATTCGACACTCGCGGCTTAATCAACGCGTATATTTAACAGTACGATACTTTATATGACACTCCCGACACGAATTTTATTGCGGCACATTACCACGAACATACGATACTTTGCATAACACTTCTAATGTGCATCTTGTTACGATACAATGAAGAATGATTCGCAAAAAATCGCGTTCAAATACATGGCATCCAACAATGTAGAAAAGAAATTGAAATTTACGCGATCAACTTCGCGCGCTAATCGTCACTGTCGCATTTTACTACACCTGTTGCTCCTACTACACTGTCGTACATTTATCATTCTAGAACGCTGGGCGCGAAAGGAAAATGATATAGGTTCGTATTTTATTATTTGTAAGGCAAGCAAATAAATAACGCGATAATACGGAACGATCTCTCCTTGTTATTGTTTGTTTATTAAAATGGTCGGATGAATGGTGGCAAGATGATCGTCCACCGTACAACAATACGGCTGTATATGGTCGTGTGCCATAAAAAGCAAACTTGGAGCATGGCGAATAACATCAAATACTTTACTTGTGACTTGCTCAGTATCGCGTAATTTATTCAGTTATCTTAGAATATAAGTAAAAACGCTAATTCAACCAGTCACTCTTTCATGCGCGAAAAGTCCACGAAACGAAAGTTGGATTAAGGTGCCTTTTCACATTGATGCTCGACGCTCCACGATTGTCCAAAAAGAACCAATCGCTGCACTAGTTTTTAGCCGCGAGATGTCGCAGGCGTCACATAAACAAGTTCCTTTAAAGACAAAAGTTGGTAGTTTTGCTGTGGCGGTGGCGCGCAAAGTTGCAATTTAAAGTTTTCTTTCGTTTCCGTATTTGGATGCCATTAGATCTAACGCATCATAACTCTGCTACTCGAATCGTCAGTGTTTGCATTGTTAATTTCGTTTCGCTGGTATAGTATGACCAAAATTCGCGTCGAGAATGCGTTTTCGAAAGTGTCGTGTAAAATATTGTGCAGTTGACCGTATTTTCGCGAGTATGATCTGTGAGTATCATAAAGTAGCTGCGGCATAGCAGAGAGAAAAAGGTTCGGGGAATAGCCGGCGACAGCGGAATAACCGTAAGATAATCTTGTAACTTGCTCCATAATGCATTATTTATTTAGTTATCTTAGAATACAAGTAAAACGCAAATCCAACCAATCACTCTTTTTGTGCATGAAAAAATATGAGAATAGAATGAAGGTGCCTTTTCACATTAACTCTCGCCAATCCACAAATGTCCAGAAATAACCAATCGCTGCAGTAGTTTGGTCACCCGATGTCACGACTGTCACATGAAAAGGTTCCTTTAGAGGCAAAAGGTGGTGACACTGCTGTGGCGGTGGCGCGCGAAATCGCAATTTCAAATTTCTTTTTGTTTCAGTCTCGTTCCTGTATTGGGCGCCATTGGTCGAACGCTTCGTACCTCTGCTACTTGAATCATCAGTGCTCGCGTTGTTAATCTCATTTCGCTTGTTGTAGTAGGATAAAATTCGCGTCGGGTGTGCGTTTTCGGGAATGTAGTGTAAAGTGTTGCGCAGTTGACCGTATTTTCGCTCGTATAAGTGTGACAAAATTCGCGCCGGAAATGCGTTTTCATGAGTGTCGTCGTGTAAAATATTGTGCAGTTGATCGTATTTTCGCGAGTGTGTGATGTGTGAGTTTCATAAAGAAGTAGCCGCGGAACAGAGAGAAGAAGGCCCGGGGAGCAGTCGGCGACACGAGTGTGCGTATCATGGAGAAACAGCCACGGCGGAACTGAGAGGAGGAGGAGGTCCGGGGGTATTTGGCAATGGCGGAACAACCGTAAGGGTGAAATCAGATGATACGGAAAAGAGCTGCGAAACGGAGAGTGTGTCATTGAGACAGCCAATCAGTTGCGGAATACAATCGTACGCAATAGCTGTGATTGGCTGTTTCAATGACGCACTCTCCGTTCCGCAGCTCTTTTTCGTATCATCTGATTTCACCCTAAGGTAATCTATTATTTGAATGTTCATTAATTGCGGCGATTGATTTGAATATTGGGAGTGCGATTTGGCATTTCTACTATTGCATATATATGTAATACGATGCATATTAATGATTATTTTAACTAATTTGGTTATTTATGTATTTTACAGATGTATATTTGCAACTCCGCTGCTGCGCATCGTAAGGTGAGTCAAATTATATCTTTATTTCAATCTTCAAGATTTGCAAGCTTTTGCGGAAATGTATTCTCTTGATAATTTCGATGATGTCGGTATTGTCGCTTCGGTGATTTGGTGGAAAGTCTGACCGCTACCGTTAGATGGCATATATTAGCCATAACAGCTTCGTAGGATCTCCAGTGTTGATCTAAACAGCTTTCGTTAACCTCTTCGCGTGCACTTTGTACGTGTGTGACTGGTATTTCTAACCTGAAATATGGCTGATTTGGAACAAGACCCGGGAGACCGGGTTGACGGCGATAATCAGAAAAATGATAAAATGTTCACTCTGAAAAAATGGAATGCCGTGGCCATGTGGAGTTGGGACGTGGAGTGTGATACCTGTGCCATTTGCAGAGTCCAAGTTATGGGTAAGTCATGTTTTAGTTAAGTGTTTATCAATTCTTTCTTGTTTCTTTTTCATAAAATTACTATAATTGGCAGAAATTATGTTTACAACATTGATTATAAGTGTTATATTAACATTCATGCAGTGACAATGAATAAGTTTATTGCTCTGAAATTTGCAAACTTGCAACTTAAGTGTCAGCTCATTGACTATTATGTTAATTTGAACGTATATTGCTTATAATATAGAGTGTGATATAAATATTTTCTACACTGTTTCGCAAATGTTTAATATATGCTTGTCATAAGTATAAAGTACAAGGAAAACATGCAGCTACTTGCTGCTACTTATCATTTATACGATAGGAGTTATGATTGCTTTTCGAAATGAGTGCCATCATATATCATTATTAAACAAAGATGGCAATTGTTAAAATTATTGTAGATTTTATTAATAAGTTAAGTACACTCAAAAAAATATTTCGCTGATGTAGTTAGATTTCTAGATATCGCAACAAGAATGTATCACTATTTTTCGTATCTGTGAAAGCATTGTTTGTCACATATAGAATTTATAGCAGTAATGTTCTAGCAATAGCTTCTGAAAAATTTAGGTACCATTGCTAAATGTTATTCATTGCATGATCTAACACGTGATTGTTCTTATATAGATAAGCGCTTTAGAGAAACTTTCTTTTTAAAGTTCATAAACAATACAGATATATATTCTGTTTCTGTCATTTAAACTGATTAAGTACTTACATATGCAATATCACAACAGTTGCTAATTATTTATCTGTTTTAGTTAATTTTTTACCCCTAGAAAATTTTAGCTATTATTGCAAGATTATTTTTTTGAGTGTAAGAGACTAAGAAACGGAAGGGATTGAGTTTTTTCATAACGCAGCGATAAGATGTTTTGTGTTTTACATCAAAATTGCTTTTAATGGTAATTATATTATCACAAGATATTAAGATATTATTTCTAGCAATGTATAATTGTTCATAATTATTTCTTAGCAAAATATAATTGATCAAATTCATAAAAAATATCAAAGAAGAGAGGTATCAGACAGAAAACAATTGTTTTTACATAAATGTATCATTTTATTAATAGTCATTAATAGCCTTAAAATTACCACATAATAACTTACAAATATATGTAAACTTAACATGAGTATTAAATTATCAAAAATATTTCGCCATCTTTATTGTGCTTTGGCAAATGCCTTATAAATAAGCGGCAGATATCACCTGTATAGTAACAAATGTAAACAGAAATATGAGAAACAAAGAAATGCAGTGATTGGTAATTGTATGAGGGGTAGTAATGTACTCAATTCTCACATATAAAACAAGGCATTGCACGCTTATTGCTTTATACGATATTAAATTGAACCGTATATTAATTTGCGCAGCGGGAATGATCTTTTGTTCGTATTGTTACAATTTTGAGAAATGATATTTTGCGTATTATAAACAATATTTATCATAATAATGCCAAAAACAAACTCCAAAAATTATCTTATAACATTTTATCATTTTTATATCTATTTATGCAAATGAGATTCGCTGCAAATGGATTTTTTGTCCTCGATTTAAACGTATATAAACTACAAGCGCACTCTAATCATCTTATAAAAATGGATGCTCGCAATTTTAACGTTTTTTGATAGTTTCGTCAGTTGTCAATTATGATACGTTGAGATTTATAGTACACTGCATTAAAACATTGTGAATGTATTCGGTCAAATGATGAATTAGAATAAAGTAAATATCTGCATATAGTTTATCAAACGTTTCATTGGCTATTTTTCATAGGCAAGATAAATTTGTATTTTAAAAGCATTACAGGAAGTATTAAGCGCAATGTTCTTCCAAATAATTTTAAAATTATTTATTTTATTTAGTTTTAAAATTAAAATTTTTTATCATAGAATTATATATAAGTTATCTTGATGGCAATATTATAATTTTTTAACTGATCTCTGTTATATGTTTTGTAAGTTATTTGTGAATAATTCTTGTTGCGCAATCAAAAGAGAAATTGATGATAAAAATATATATTTACAATTTAGGCAATACAAATCAATTTTTGTCGATATTTTGAATTTAGCCATGAAAGTCTATCGATGAACTATTTCCGATTACATAATTTGACCGATAACACTCGTCTGATATTAGCAGTTTTATCTTAATTTTTGAACATAGGCATTTCGACAAGCTTTACATTCGTCTGAGGTTCTCCTCTTACGCTACTAATTTCCTAACAACTCGACTACAACTATAATTCCTACTCTTTTCAACTCGTTCAGAAAATAAAAATATATATATCTTCTATTTAAAATTATCACTTTTTATGTATATACATTTAGAATCGTATTCACATCCCACATTGATACAGTCCGATTGCGCGTATCATTCATTTAACAAGAAGATTATACGCGATCTGATAGACTGAATCATATCATCTTTGCCTAGGATCAATTTTTTCGATGTTGATCAGCTTAAATCATAGTTCGATCAGCTCTCTGCGTCTTTTTAAATTTCTATATTTCCAAAGAGGAAGAGACATTAGAAAAATAATTGCCGAGCTACGATTAAAGTTAACCATCTTGATTTTGGAATATATGTACATTAATTATCCTAATGGTGCAAACCTCCGGCTATTTACAAACAGTGGCTCTATCATGAAGAGGGTGCATAGGAACGCGATTGATCTTAAGCTTATCATCGCGCGGGAAGTTCACCCTTGCTTCGAAGACCGACGTATAATACGTAAATATATAAGTACATATTACGCGTGTTTCTGAAATTCAAAGTATACGTGACGATCTATCTCCGCACAAAATTACGTATACCACAGCCTAAGACTGTGTGCACTTAAAAAAAAAGAAAAAAAATCGCGCGATTCACACGTGCACACCTCCCGATGATGCAATATTAACTTGAGGTAGACCCTGTAGAATTGTCGAATAATAAAAACAATCGCAATTATACATCTAGTCAACAGCTGATAGTCACATATCGTATCATTTCCCCGCTAGGAACGTATTTTTGCCTCGTAATTAATTAGTCTTAAAGTACGTATTAAGGTTTCGCAAATTGGACGCCTGACAAGGTTGGCACTATCGTTGGCTCTTTTCCCCATATTAGATATGAATAAATAGAAACGGAATCTTGCTGCACTTACGTTTCATCTGGATAATTAAAGAAGCAAGCGAATGAAGATGTGTCGCATTTTCGATAAAAAATATAATAATCGATATAAAACTGTCAACTTGAATATTCAGTCGAAAAAATTATTTTAACGAATTACTAAAAAATTTCTCATGATTATAAAAAAATTACTAAAGTTTTCAATTGATAAAACTTTTCACATCCAGTTACAGCTCTTCAATATAATATCTAATTAAAGAAAGTACGGGTCTTTCGGAAAAGATTCGCTTTTGTCCCTCCGCATTTCCGGATATAGTTGAATGATAATTGTACTCGTTATTGATTACAAGCGAATCTTGCAAGAATGAGCTGAAAATTTCGTAAGAGCAAGATAGGAAAAGGGGAGAGAGCAAGTACTCTTCCTCTTTATGCAGAAGAGAGAAATATACCTTCATATCTAATTTCCCTTTAAGGGAAAACGTATCTATAAGGGAATTTATCCCTTAGAATAACACCGTAACCGCAAGTCTCACTTCTCGGTCGCGTGAGATTTCTCGAAGAGAAATCGCGATTTCTTGAAGAAAATCGCGATCGGACGTTCGATGGCGGCTAGCACGCCATCGGCATCGGCTTCATGTTGGCGACCGAGCTCATTCTTCTAGTTCGGCCTGTGAACCTCTTCTCGATTTCCTCGAGCGACCTACCGCTCGTTTCTGGTACGCTGACGACCACGAAGACGAAACCTACCGCGATAATGGAGCCGAACAGCCAGAAGGTACCGTGCGCGCCGATCAGCGCTATGACATCCTCGAAGGTTTTCGTTACGATGAAGGTGCACATCCAGTTGAAGCCGGTCGCGATACTCGCGGCCGAACCGCGGATCTTGGCCGGCAGAATCTCGCCCATCATCAACCAGGGAATGGGTCCGAAGCCTAGCGAGAAACCCACAACATACACGATCAGACTGACCAGCGGCAGCCAGCCGAACGACGTCACGTCCATGCCCATCGATTTGACGTAGAAGAATCCGCCGAGGGCGAAGAGCGTGACAGCCATTGATACACCGCTTATATACAACAGCATCTTCCTGCCCAACTTGTCGATCACGGACGCGGCGACGAAGGTGGATATAAAGTTCACGATGCCGATGATGATGGTGGAAAGATTTTCGTCGATCGTGCTGCCGGCATCCTGAAAACGAGAATGTCGTCCATTGATTAGATGAAAATTCGGAAATTTATCGACACTGCCGCTGCGCATTTCGTCAACATGTTTAAAAGATATCAAATTTTAAAGGCGATGGAGAATACTAATTAATTGATACGTACCTGGAATATTTGCACCGTGTAGAATATTACTGCATTGATGCCGGACATTTGTTGGAACAGCATCAATCCCAGGGAAATAAGAAGCGGCTTCAGATTGTTGCGCTTCATCAATTCCGATATCGTACCTTGGGAATCGTTTCGCTCGCTCTCCATGTGCAATTTCTCGATCATACTCAATTCCTCGGTGATGTCCGTTTCCTTACCGCGCAGCCACTGCAGTGCCTTTCGCGACTTTTTCGTCTTCCCCTTCGAGATGTACCACCTTGGCGTCTCCGGGATCATGAACATCAGAATCAAGAATGGTATGGGCAAGCTCGCGCCTACCAGCGCCAAATTTCTCCAATCCAGATACATGCCCAACGTGAAGCATAATAATATTCCTGTGAACGAAAGATCTTTAAATTCTCGCGGAATAATAATTTATAAATGAGAGTGGGGTGAAATATATGCTGCACACGAATGAATAATATTTAACCAATTGAACAAATATCATCTTAATTTTGTTATCTTGTTATCTGTTTGATATCCGGATTAATCAGGAACAAATATAATATTTAATATTTATTCGTTATATGTACAATACACGCACAGCAAACACTCGCGCGTTTATTTGACAGTTAAATCACTTACCGGTATTACCGAAGGCAGTGGGCATCAAGCCAAGAGTACCGCGTACTTCTGTCTGTATTGTTTCGCCTAAGTACACGGGTAGCGCTAAAGAAGCAACACCTACGCCGAATCCGCATAACGCGCGTCCAACTAGCACCATCGGGACGTTCTCAGCCAACGCGATTAAAAGCCATGCTGTAACAGAATCGTATCGCCATGTAATTCATTGTCAGTTTACTATTTATACGCAATTCATAACAATAACTTTGCACAATCGATTTAAAACGTTATCTTAATATATTAGAGCTTTGTTACATCTTACATTATTACTATATTTTATTAATATTTTGTAATACATATTTCGCGATAATTTTACCTCCGATAAATGGAAACGCCGTAGCAAGTATCGTATTTCTTCTTCCGATGTATTCGATGCATGGTCCTCCAGCAATACCACCGAAAAGTGCACTCAGCGGCATAAGCGATCCAATCCACATACCCTGCAATATTAATTTAGAATATGATATATTTCCCAAAAAAGACTTCAGTCATATAAAATCAATCTCTTCTCAAAAAAATTTGCTAGCATTTATTGTATGTTTCTGATTCTTAACATTAATTACGAAAATTTTATTATGTATTAATATATTAAATATTTTATTATTTTTTATTAAATTTCTCTTGGAGTAAAGTTTGCTTAAAATTAATTGAAATATTTCCAAACAAAATGCCAATGTAAAAGTTTAATATTTTAATGCCGTAGTTATAAAATCTTTTTTCTTAGATGTAAAATATTCTTTATAATTCACAGAATACTTATTAAATGCTGATAACTATGCAGAAAGGCAACTCAGTAAAAATTAAGGTCGATTGTTGGTAGTCTTTGTGATCATTTAAATTCATCTTTTGAATTACAAACATATGCCAGAGTAATCCTGACATAGTTTTTTTACTGAAGGTTCTTCGAATACAAATAAGGTCGGGAAGCCGGAGAATGTCAAGGAAAACAATCGCGAAAGACGATCATCGATCATTTTGGTTGCTCATTCGGTCGGTTGTGTCGCGCGTTTTAATCAAGTCACCGCACGTAGAGTTACGAAATCTATCTCGCGCTTGATTAAGTAACGAAATGTAGAATAATTGGTATAATAATTGCTATTACAACATAAACTTTAATGGGCATTTCATAGTACTCCCTATTCGCGATAATTTAAATAATAAATTTTAAAACGTAATACAAAAATAATAATAAATAATTATTTAAACTATTTTATAAAATTATAAAAAATTTTTATATAAAATATAATTTATATAAAATATAAAATATAATTTAAAATTTAGAAAAATAATTTAGAATTATTAGAGAATATTCTTAATACATAAAAAATTATTTTTTTATAATATAATATTAGTGAAATGTATGTACTTCTTTTTGAATAATTATTTCAACATGTTCAAACAATCAAAAATTTGATTTCTATTTCTATTTTTCTCTCTTTATATTTATTATTAAAAAAAATATATATAATATATATCTCGAAGTTAAATTTGAGACGTGACTCGTTTAAAGCTTGATGCCTTTGCTCGCTTCTGAACGCGCGCGTATGCGGAAGCGTGTTATTCACGTTCGCGCACGTATTTAGAATTAATTTCCGACTTCGTGACGGGCCTTTACGACAAAGTCGGTGTGTCCGACACAATAGCCAATCGCCTTCGCGGCCACTGAGGCACAACGGCTCCTTAACTAATACGATTGCAATCAGGTCATCGTGCCCCTGACCACATGCCAATGACGCACTTGAGGTTAAACCTTTTAATCATCCATTGACCCTTCGAATAACGAAGGTCGTACCTTTACATATGTTTGCGAAGATCGCGATAATTTCCATTTGACGCATTATGCTATTTATCAGCCGTATTGCTTTAACTTCCACTTGGACTACTACAATGTGCCGTCAATAAACAATTCTTTTTTATTTTTCTTTGACATCATAAATTTCATTAAGATGTCTTTAAACCGACCATTTAAATTGGGCGCGATCGTAACATTCATTCGTGACTTTAATAGACGCGGTAAAAGAAGTAAAGTGTTATATGTACACATACAACTTTAGATATGTAATAATAAGATATCATGGATAGAATGAGACAAGTCTCTTCAGTCAGAAGATATAAGTAAATATGAAATGTGTAGAAAAAAATTCGTTGATTTCACAAAGATACGAGCCGCGAATACGCTATCGTATGTATGGGCTCGCGTGTAATCGGCAGACGTTCAAACAAACGTGCTCGGATGCTTTATGGATCTCACAACCTTTATATTCTGCTCATGTTCGACAGGATCAAGTCCTCGTGCGGTTTCACGGTCAGATACACGAGATTGCGATGTATTATCCGGGCACGTTTGTGGAAATTGCTTCTCTTTAAATAGCCTTCGCACATTTACAATAGCATATTCAATGGATAAGACGATGACGCGGTATGCGACGCAGGTGTCTTCACGATTTTCACAATCGGACAGTAGTTAATAAAGTGAACCATAAAAATGTCAGCAGTTGTATTATAATTACCATTTGCTTGCTGACTTCGAAGCTCGCGGTGGCATTATCACGCATAGACACTAATCCCGGCGATGTGTAGGAACTTGCATAACCAATCACCATCGAACCCAGCGACACGGATAATGCGGCCAATATCTGAAAACAAACAAAAAAACCCAGTTAAATTTATGGAATGTGTAGGATGTGAATTTTTAGATTCTTTAAATATATTTAATAATGTTGAAAATTGTGATTGTAAAATCAGCGTAAAGTATGTAAAGATGCGAATTATAAATCGATAGTAGAATATATTTTCTGTCTCCAGTCGCTGTTTACTTATATAGAATCTATATTGCGATATCGAAGAATATCGAGATCAACTTATTGATTTATTTGATCAATTGTAGGATTTGCGTCATTGAAATTATATTAAAAATCTTGCGATTCACGATCACATTGGAAATGTCATTTTAGCAAATTTATGATTTTTCGCGAAAAAAGAAATAAAAAAAATATAGGATAAATTTTTTTTCATTGATTGCATAGTTTTCGAGAAAAATTATTTTCAATATAAAAGTAACTTGCGTTTATTTGGCTATAATATTATCGATTAGAATATAGTTTTTGCAACAATTAGCTGCGAGCGAAACGTTACCGCAAATACTTGTTTCACGAAATCAATTAAAACGAAATCAATGAAACTAATAATGATCCGCTCGTTACTTTAATATTTAAAACTTTTCAAAAAACTGTGTAACCAGCCGAAAAAAATTATTCTATATTTTTTTAAGTAGGAAATAATTTCCAAGCACTGCGTATTGCACAACGATCCGTAATTCTCTTTCTCTTTCCGTGAGATTTGAGCTTCAAATAAAACTTTCAATTATTGGAGCATTTTTTAGAACACAGAACGTTTAGTACTTTTCACACAAACTTTCGTGAAGTAGAAAAGTTAAAAAAAAAAAAATACTTCAACGATTTTAGAGAAAATAAAATTTTTATCTAAATAGGCTTTCTACCTGAGATAACGTGCATTTGGCTGCCGGCGCGTTTTCCGGCAGCTGAATGTTTACATGAGTGTCTGCTCGCAGGAGAATCTTCATGATTGCGAATAAGTCGAAAAAGGTAACTGATCAGATTGTAACAACGCACGATTGTAAGAAAAAAAAATCGAATAACTAAAACCCCCTTCGACGATCGAACCTCGTCAGGATAGAGACTTATTCTCCCGCGTCAAGCGACTATCAGTCGCGATCACGACTTCGATACCGACTCGATTTAATTGGTGATCAATGATCTGCGTATCGATTTCACACTGACGCGAATGGAAGTTTTTGGTGTCACGGTGTAATATAAGCTATTGATACTCGTGGACCGCGCCGGGTGGTTCACGTCTTATATAGGGAGCGATGCTGGGGGCCGGCCATCCCTTCCCCTCACACGTCGATCCATCCTTCAGAATAGATTATTATACTCCGACGTATGTGATGATCAGCACATACGTCAATTTATTCGCGCCTTTCCAAAGCGATACGCTCCAATTCCGCACTTAGGGTAGAATGGAGGGGAGGACGAATACACACGTCTTTGCGTAATTAAATGTTTTGGAGCACCTTTGAAACTCGAAAGAACAGTCTTTCGACATGAAAAGTATGATATCATTAAAACTTTAGATATTTTGTAACACGATGTTATCAAGGATTGTATTGCAAAACGTATTTTTTTATATCCCGAAAAATTTACATCACTTCGCCGTTTGCTAACAAAATAACGGCGAGAAAGTACATTCGCATTTTGCTGTCTTTATAGAATATCACGGATTAAATATAACGGTGCAAAATCATATCAGATATTAGAAACAGAATATTTAAGAACAAATAACTTTTACGATTCGAAGTAAACGTCGAATGCCCCAATGTAGCTCTAATATAAAGGTATTTTTTGTCTTTATGCTCGTCACTTTACTTATGAATTTAAACGTTTAAACCGTATCATTTTATCTCGATTATCCGTGTAATTAATGCCGATACGTAATATTCGTATTGATAGCTCATTAAGTCATTTTAATAAGAGAACTAGACAAATGCAGCCACACTTGCTTTTAATATCTAACGAAGATATGCGTTTGATAACAAAGGATGATTTTGTACATGAATATTCACTGCTTCGCGGCGTAGAATATTATTTCATCGAGCTAAATTTAGCCACTTAATATTTTTTCTTATATTTTTTAAGGAATATTAAATTAATTATATAAACACATAAACAATTATAAGTATTTAAATACACATTCTAATTAATACAATTTCTAATACACATGCAAAGATATAAAAAACAAATTTTGAACACAATTAATTTAAGGAGATAAAACTGTGAAGTTTTATCGTTTCAAAAATTTATTTTTGCACGAAGAGTTGCTAGTGATAAAAACCTTTGATAGCTGAATAGTTGAAAAACGTTTGTAACAAGAATTCTCATTATTAAAGAGATTGGTATCTCTTTAATGGATACCAATTACAGCCAGTGAATTGCTATTGCATCGCATACGACTTTGCATCTTTTTTTCAATATCTAAAATTGATTTTATTTTATTTTATTGAGGGAGATGAAAATTTGCGGTTCAGTTATAATAAATAATTTATGAGCGACGCCCGTGGAGCCATCAGCTATGAACGTCAATGTCAAAACGAGAACAATGCAGACTTTAGCGTTATGCAAGCTATTATGCAAGATATATTCGTTATAGGGCTGCGTCTGCTCTCCATTTGTTCTCTCTTGTTCTTGCGCAATTATTCTTGTTCAGATCATTTTGATCCGCGTAACACGCGTGCAGATAGCGCGCGATGATTAGACTGAATGCACATTGACAGAAAAAAATTGTTTAATTGTTTCGAACGTTATAAATATAACGAAATAGCTAATTTAAAATTTTAATTAATTATCTTGATTAGTAATATTATATACTATCATCAGCATAAGAATTTTTTGCTCAATGTGAAAACATAATCAATTCTGAATTGATTCAAGAATCCACTCCCTAAAATCCTATGCATAAAATATACGAAAACTATTAGATCGCGATTAGAAAAATATTAGAAATTCACCTGGGTAGTAAATCGCATCGGAGACGGCTTGGGTTCCTTTTGGAATTCTGTGTGTCGGATGGATTCCTGCGGGTCCTTGGGCGGTTTCACGTCCTCGGCATCCATGGAGATCTTGATGTCCGGTTTCTGCTCGTTCGATAGAAGCGGATCGAGCTGCTTGTAATCGACGTCCTGGCCTTTGTCTAGTGGATTGTAAATCCGCGATCCGTTTAGGGCTTTTTGATGATTGTTTCTCAAATTTTCGGCATAGTAATGGTTGGATGTCTTGCTGTTGTCGCCAGAGAAGTATTTTTTCTCGACGATGAGAGCGGTTTGGCTGTTGAATGGACTGGTACTCGCCACGAGGGTAGTGTTTGACGAACAGTCCAAAGTTGTCCCCGAACCGGAAGGTGAAGGTCTGATAATCGGGGACACCTTCGTGTAATATTTGGGGAGAACGCTGCGCTCCTGAAATATAGAATTATGACTCGTTTAATATAGATAGACGGATGTTAGGCAAATTTTACGTTTTTCAAGTTTGCATAAGTCGAAGCTGCAAAATGCTCATTCAAACAGGTGGAAGTATTGATATGTATTGGCATGTATTGACGAAAAAGATTTTTTTAGGAGAAAGCAATTGTGTGATGGTAGAATATTAATTCAGAATATATATTTTTCACTTTTATTTTTTAAAAATTTTATTGTGGAAGAATACAACTGCAATTAATTTAAAATTAGGAAAATTACACAAGACTTTCTCGGATATTAAGCTTTTTACAAAAAAAATATATTAGATATATTTTGTAATAATGATTAAAAATACGCGAGTTGAAACCGGAAAAAGCCGGAAGAGAGGAGCCTAACTGGACATTACCGGACTTGAACTGTTTGCTCTCTCTCTTTTTGCGATAAAGTTCCGCGCGTAGCAAATAGCCTAACAAGGGAATCTCAAGCAGAAAACAACAATTTTGCTCCGAGAATTATAAGAAGACTCAAATTAAACTTCCAAAATCAAAGTTTCGAAATTTATTTCTGAATAACATTTGATAATTAGAATGTTTGATAATTAGAATTCTTTTTTCTCTTTTTCGTGTTACTGTTCAGAAAATACTTTAATTATAGAAAATTGGAAAATATAATAAAATTGATTATATAAGATATTAATATGATCGACAAGGAAAATTTTTTTACGGAAGTATCAGAAAAGTTAATTGCTTCACTTATTAAAAAATATATCACATTTTAAAATATGCAATTGTTAAGAATATTTAGATTGCATATTATTTATAATAATTTTAAAAAAAGATTTATAGAAAATTGTAAAGAAAAATTGTAAAAATCTTTCTGTGCTTCTACGAAGTTTTATCTTTTAAGATGTAATTGCTTCAATCTCACTAAACCACTTGTATTTCATTGTAATTCCTGAAATCACTAATTATAAGCAAAAGTAAAACGCAATCTCGCTCATCAAAGACGAAATTGTTGTCCAAAAGACTAATTTGATGAAATGCACTCGTGGATTAGAATTATACACTCAAAGAACATCAGATATAAAATTGAAAATGGTAATGAAAGTAGATAAAAGCGATGCAAAAGCAAATAAGATATATAAAATCGCGTTACCGTCACTAAGGAACAAACGTCTGTTTACTTGCTTCGCTGTTTACTTAAAAGGTTGAAACATCAAAGTTGGACTACTTATACTGTGTCCGTTTATCAGAAATCGCGTTAAAAGTACATTAGAGGGGAGAAGAAAATCACATATAGAGGGTGATTTATGCGTATTGACGATCAACGCAACAGAGAAAGAAATAAAGAACGTGACGATTATCAAATCCGCCAATAACAAAAAGCCAGTAGTAGGGAATAAAGCTGTGATGGTGTCCCGGAGATTAGATGACTTTTTATCCTTAAAGATTGATAACCTGCCTTGAACTTCATTACTAAGCAATTGCGAATAACTCGCGACATTTGTGTGTGTATTTTCTCTCGTTACACAGAACATTACGTGATGAGAGAGCTTTCCTCATCGAAAACCGATCGAAATTATCATATTTTAAAATAATGAGCAATCATACAACCCACAATCTAAAATTTAGCAATTTACAAACTTATCCGATCTAATTGATTTTCGAAAATAAAGATTTTTGCACATTAATTTTTTAATATTTTTTTCTCATATTTTAAAATTTATTTATCTTGCACTCTCACAAGAGAGTTTGCTTTTTCGCGGACAATTTAGTGCAATATGAAGTGACTCTAACTTCAACCATTCTAACGCTAAGATTGCTTGTAAATCAAGTAATCCAAATAAAGATGAATTTTACGTGATGTTTGTATCGATTTAGCGGTAGGTCAAGGGTTAGATCATGGTATAATGCCATTAATTTCTGGAGGTAACTTAAATGAGTTGCCGAAATATGTTGTTAAAGGCCAAATAGCTAGTAAGCCAGCGCTTAATGATTTATAACTCTCATACTCTTGTATATTAAAAAGGTATGTCAGAGATTATCATAAATTGCATTTTTCTCTATACAATTTTCTCATAAGATAATGAAAAGAGGAAATCGAAGATTTATATAAAATTATTCTAATTATGTCTTTTTTTCTTTATTATCTTTATACTCGATAAACATTTTAATCATAAATTCAGAAAAATATTTATATCAATTAAAATTTAATTCTGAAGTAATTTAAAGTGAATGTTGATACACTATTAAAGTGCAGAATTATATAAACTATATAAACAGTTACATCGATAGTAATCTCTTATTTCGGCATTTAAACTTTGCATTTTTAAATACAAATATTTACATAAAAAATTAATTATAATGTAATATTAATTAATTTTCTCAATGTTATCTTTTTCACGGGAACATTCTTTTTACATTCATAATTGTGCTCGTGTCGAGTACAATTATGTAACAAATTAACTTGCAACTGATAAAAAGTCGCAAATCTTCTTATCATTTCGCACCAATGTGAAACTTTGAGTTTTAGCGTAATTCTGTTTTCGCGTATTTTATCGCAAAACTGAGAATAAGTCGGTATGATAAAATCAATTAAATAGACACCCAAAGCTGATTTGTATTTCTTCTATTAGAAACAAGGTGTTATTAAATTTTACGGCATTCAGCTCGAAGGCTGGACGTTGTAGCGGAACATTGCGTCGAGCAAGAAACAAATATAAAAATCGTTCTAGAAGCGAATTTCCATGTTTAGTTAGCGTGAAATATAAATCATCCTTTGTGTAGGCGCGTGAGAGCGATGCTCTTTTCATCATGTTAGTGTAACTATTGTGTCGAAAAATCGTCTGTTTATCCCGCTGTCATCACGTGTCTCTAACGTGGGATATAAAGTTCATATCATACACGTTATGATATGAACTCTGACGTTTCGGCGGAAAACCATTTGACGTAATGTCGGATTATACACAAAAGTTTTGATATATTTATTTATCAACTTGCGAAAAACGATTGACGAATTATATCGTCTGTTATTACGTAAAACAGATAATTTGCAGTATTGCATTCTTTAGATTTTTTCTACGGTCAGTATGGAAGGTTTTATATTGAATGTTTGATATTTCTTACATAAAAACATTTACGATTTTTTTTAACTGAAAATAATCTAAACACACCGTTGTCACGGACGTAAAAAAATCAATAATGTAATTCTTTCAATGAGCCATCTGATATTTCCTTATCTGATATTTCCTTATCTGTTCGTTTAGAAAGGAAAAAATTATTCTAAAGCTATATTAAATTTGGAAAATAGGTCGCGTAATTCAATTATCACATTAGGATAATGTATCTAGTTTAATGGAGTGTTCTTGACCTTTGACGCGGTATTATGGTTTTCTATCTCGACTATTAGTCAACCATTAGAGACACACTCTAACGGACTTCCGTAACAATGGCGATATTTAGGACGATTTTTGCGTTTGTCCGGAATTTTCTCTTTTATTTCTCTCAAAAGTTATTTATCTCGCAATAGTAAAAATAAGAAATAATAGCCACTTATGATGAAAACATTTTATAGTAGTGTTTTCTTAATTAGAAATTTTTTATTGGCTTAAAACAAAAAAATTGATTTTTGTTAATTAACCGATTTAAAAAAAAATAAAATAGCAAACTTAACAAGGGAAGCATGAAAAAGCAATGTACGACCACCCTGTATATAATTAACAACATTTTTCTGCGGAAGTTGAAAATAGTAGTTAACTAATATATCGTATATATACGTGAGTTTTGTAGGCACTTTTCTGGGCATGTTTAGTGTCCCACAAATTCATACGTAATTTCAATCGCGATATGGTCGATCGATTAAGTCAACTGCAGTACGGCCACTCGACTTTGACTGTTGACCAAGGGATAATGTTGTCGAAAAACACTTCCGTGTTAAATATCAGCTGAAGTTTTTTCACGCATGATTTCGCCAAACATAACGTAGGCGTTCGAATTGAAAAAAATTAGAGATAACGCTTTTGCGCATTAAACTTCAGCAATTTTAGATAGACAAAACTCGCGATTCGCATAATCTGTTTGATTTTTACGTCCACTCTTTAGCGATCACAGAATTAGAAAAAATGTGTCCCATCCCGAACGTGTAACTCCACCACATAATCCTCGTCACGCGATCAAACACTGATCTGCGTTACAAAATAAAAGGAACGTTTCGCAACATGAAATGTATTGTTACATCATGTCATATTACTTCGAATATAATTGAACTGTGAACATGATAACTGAATTGCAAAAATTGATCGCTGCCACATTAGATCGCATTTTGAAGCATCAAAAACAGCGTCGACGTGCATACGTAACTTTGCTCGACATAAAATTTGTTATATTGAGTGTTGCAGAAATACATGCTGCAAATTTCATTTTTGATGTTTTTGGCTACACAGTTTCCCAAAGATTCGATTGCCCGCCAAATTTATCTGACTTCCTAATGTTTTCGCACGCTTTTGTGAACATGTATATTTATTTCCCATTTCTCATTCGCATATCAATTAACAATTAAAGATTTGAAATCAAAGCTGATACATCAATATAATCAGAAACAGCCCTATGAAAACAATAAAAAAGGTGCACACAGAGATCTGTTCTATCGGTGTTGGACATTGACATGCCGTTTCATGCAGTTGACAGAAAATCATTCGAACAATGCAAAATGTAAAAAATCGGCACTTTCTCTCAAACTTTATTTAGATAGCTTTGTGTTGTTCGAACATCTTTCCTAGATTCAGTGATTTCCGGATGACGACGGCGGAAAATTTTCCGAGTAACCTTGAACGCGAGTCTTCAACTATGTTACGCAAGGTACTCCCGATAGTTCGCGAAATTAGATCGCTCATTTCTTTCTAAATCAGTCGTGCAGCCCACGCGAAATATTTTTAGTGCTTCCCAATGCAGAGCTTTTCGTTCAAGCGATGCTATTTCTGTACTCTTATGGACGCTTGCCAG